TAGGCGACCGACAGCTGAAGCTATCGTGGTGACATGAACACCAGACTTGAAAACATATATAAAACGGTATCCTTATAAAAATGTTGGTTTGTCACCAGATCGACAGCTGCAGCTCTCGTGGTGAACGCAACACAGGTTAACTGCAGGATTGAAAACAACAGGTGCGAGCTTACAATGCTCAATTTAAAAAAATTGGGTTTGGATAGCTGACCGACAGCTGCAGCTATCGTGGCGAACACAAAAACAAGAAAACCACTTGCCCACGTGACTTATATTATAACACTTTTTGCATTGTATCTTTTTCCTCTCGTAGCATGATAGCAGCAGCTATCGTGTCGTCCATATAGCCATGCTGCATATGGATTGTCTTGTTTGCCGAAACCAACGAAAGCTGCTATATTGCCAACGAAAGCTGTTTAAATGGTCAGCTCTCGTTTTTAGCGACAGCTGTCCCTTGTACAGCTGTGGATCCTAGCGGTGGAGACAAGACACTCCTGAAATTGCCTCCAGCATTTTCGACACTGTGTGAAAAGGACTTGACAGACCCAAATGAATCATTGTGCCAATCAAAACAAGCCCTAGATCGCATAGAGACCTCAGAAGCAACAACCATAGAGGACTGCAAATCACTCTATAATCTAGTTAATAAAAATGCAACTCCTTCATGCTCAGAGTACAGAACCTTGCTCCAAGCAAAACTGATCAAGGAACAACTGAGCACTGCAGTATCCACCTGAGATGGGTTCCCACTGGCGCTCAGCTCGCTGATTGTCTAACTAAGATTATGGACAATTCAGTCATTCGCGCCGTACTCAAACATGGAGTGTACAAGTTGTTCGACGAAGGAGAGATTCTTCGTAAAAGGGCCAATACCAGAACCAGAATGCAATGGCTGAGACAGAATCTGGAAAAGCCGAGTCGTCCAGAAGCAGTCGAAGCCACGTCTTGAAAGCCAAGACCGATCCCCAGGGAATGTCTCAGATCACTTTGAGAAGTGAAGACAGGGGAAGTAGTGTGAACATTACAAAGGGGAGAGGGAAGTCAAAGCTTGAGCAAGAAGTCTTTTTTTGTAAGCGCCTACCCACCTTGCTTCAAACATGTTCGACAGCAATAAATAAAGAAAGACGTATTTCGAAGAATACCCTGTCACATGATGAAGCATTCCTGTTTGCCGTCGTCGCCACCTACCATCTCAAGAGGTGGGTGGGAGGGTTCATGAGCCTGTGCCGTACACCGGAAAACGTGCGGCTGGGCATTGGCTACGGAAGGGCGGAAACCATTGGTTGCGCAGGGCACTTTTGAGGGTTGTATACATTGTGGTGCAGGGCACCTAGGATCTTTTACATTGACAGTGGTCATTGTTGTTGACGGACGTGGTCGTCCAGGTTGAGAAGGAAGGGCTCCGTCTACCAATCACATTTGTGATTTTTTTTGTTATTACTATTATTATTATTATAAATATATATATGTATACTCATACGCAGGTAATACGAGTGTCATAAGGCTGCCTCACGTAAGCTAAACTCAGTGCCCCGTAAGCTGGCTTACGCACATTTTCGAGAACGCATGTTACGCAAGCGAAGCCGGTTTGATCAGGAGATGCTGAGTTAGAGTCGGCTGCAGTCGTGTTTCAAGAGCTATGACAGGTCTAGAGTCTAGAGACTATATATATATATATAACTTCTTGGAATAACAACCCGCGCACAAGCTGCTGCTGTGGTGTACCCTTGAAGTTTCTTTTAGCGTGCGCCCTCGTATGCTCCTACAAGCTAAAACTTGAAGTGCGCAATCGTTGCGTAAGCACCTGCGCAACCCAAACCTTATGACATAGTCCAAATATCATACGGGTTGACTGCCGCTCATAATATTGACTGCGCTGTCGTTTGAACAACTTGTTTACTAGAATAGTTTTTGTTTTTCTCAAATTGTGCCCTCGATCACATTTCCCCAAACTTTTGCGAAGTCAAGGCGCTTGCTATGGCCACACTCAGCATGGCAGGGATCTTAGTTGCTCGCTTGTGTCAGTATTATCAGGCTAGGCATGGCTAGGCTACAATTTATCACGAAAGCTAGCCTTAGCTAGCTGGAGTTGCTCTTGCTTTAGCAAGTTAAGTGACGGGGTGGACGCACCTCAGAAACCTCAAATAATTGATTAAATCAATCTTATGGACCCCCCCCCCCCCCCC